ATGATTCAGTTGGACCCTTAAATATCCACTACACATTGTTTATACCACTTGTCTTTCCAAGTTTTTTTGTAGAAAGCAGCATCTCTCTGAGTGAATTCGTCAGAAAAGGAAACCAGAGCTTCCGTGTTTTGTGCGTCACTCAGACTGTAAGATCAGACCTGAGTTGATTAATTGAAATCCCGTCAATTACTTAAGAGGTGTGTCCTTCCAGCGTTGGAACTGAAAGACTTGTATCGCTCTACGTAGGATCTTTGAATCAGACATCAACCAACAGTCTTTGTGGCTGTGTTCATGCAGCAGTCAGAGTGGTGGACAGTCTCTCTCTCTATATATATATATATATAAGGATAATGTGGCCACTGAATTTGGGGATATCCAGCCAAAGAAGTATCAAGTCCCCAGAGATGAATGCCACGTTCACAAGAAGCAGGAACAAATAATGACAAGATGTTTAAATGTCGGAACGCGTTTTATCTAATATTCTTATTTATGAATGAAAAATCCACCACAATCTGCAGCAGATAGTTTTTCTATGTTTAATTTGTTGTTCGGGTGTGAGTGTAAGTTATAATTCAGATTCTTTATGACTTTGGGACAAACTATTAGAAGCCCGTACGTGAATTACTCGCGGTTGACGTGAACAGTTTATCCTTGTCGGCAGCTTTACGGTAAATGCAACATGAAAAGCAGCTTAAAACATGTATTTGAAATTGTTATGTTAACCCAGTCTGGTGCTGACTTAGGAGCCAATCGCCTCAAGTCAACAATCAGCACTACTTCGCCATGTCTCAGAATTGTAAACGACAACAGAAGCCTACAGTATGTATTTTATGACCATGATGGTATGACTTCTATTGCAATGTACAAAAACATATATGTGTTTCTACCTGAAACTCTTATCCCCTGTCCATGATGTTCTATGTGTGGTTTCCTGTTCTACCTCCTGATGTCTCTTCGTCTACCTGGACACTCCTGTTTGTCACTGAAATATTTGCTATTTTTCACGGTTTTAACTCGGCTGAATATCCAATTCATTGCAATCCAATGCTTTCCTGTCAGACCAAAGCAATCCATCCTCATCTCCTTCTCATTTTAAAATGTGCCTTACTACTGAATTTCATTTTAGTATATAGATTTAAGTGGTTGGCTGAGCTCCAGCTTCATTTGTAAAAACCTGAAAACTGAAGCGAGGTGTTCTTTAAAGCGCCTTTTGTTTCTTCTCCTTTATTTGCCTTTTTTTTCTGTGCTCGATGAACACTAGCGGCATATGAGCTTAATATATCCTGACAGGATGACAGGAAACTAGCTGAGGGAGGAGGTGGCAGCGAGGGCCATGAGGGAAAAATAAGAGGAGGACATGGAGGTGGGAGGAGGGGTGGGGGGAAGCTACTTGCGTCACTTGTTCAGTGGGAGGGGTTTTGAGACTCAGACCACCGACCAATCACAGGAGATGTATAAGGAGCCTACTGCTGCTGCTCCAACAACAACTTGTTTTTGCTCCTCATGGCTCTGCACAGAAATGCAGTGTTGGATTTCAGCGTCTGAAATGAAACTACTTCTCTGTTTTCTTTCTTTGTTTGTATTTGTTCTATCTGACAGGACCGAGTAAAGAAAGCAGAAAGCTGCAGTGTTATTTATAAATGTATGAGTGTCA